TCATGACCTGAGCCGAAGGCAGACGCTTAACGACTGAGCCACCCAGGCGCCCCGGGACTGGTTACATTTAAACGCTCCACGGCCACGTATGGCTAGGGGCTACGTAATGGACAGTGCGGCGCTAGACCATCATTTACACTTTACTCAGCCTCCCAGTTTATCTGACGTCACAGGCCTGGCACACAGGAGTTGTGGGAATGAGTGGAGGGAGAGCACGGTCAGCGCAGAATGCTGCCCGGGTGCCCCGCGGCCAAACTTGCGGGGAATCCCTGGGCTGGGGCCCCCTGGAGGAGGCAGGAGCCTCACCCTCCTGTCGGTCGCCAGGTCTGTGCAAGGGGTACAGAGCCCGGAGGAGCCGGGATCCCAGAACCGCCGGCTGCTGCCCGACACCCCCAACGCCTTACACATCCTGGACGGGCCGGAGCAACGCTATTTCCTGGGCCTCGTGGATCTCGCCACGGTGTACGGGCTCCGCAAGCGGCTGGAGCACCTATGGAAGACGCTGCGCTACCCGGGCCGGACCTTCTCCACCGTCAGCCCCGCTCGCTACGCCCGTCGCCTCTGCCAGTGGGTGGAGGCACACACCGAGTGACCAGCGCCCGCGGCGCTCCGCATCTGGACAATGGGCGCACGCCGGGAACCAGAGTTCCAGCCTGGCCCCGGCGGCGGGTTGGGCTCCCCTCGCCTGCCGTTCCTCCCCTTGGCCTCCAGAGGGCAGCATCCCCTAACTAATACCATGACAACACAGCCTCATTTGGCGGCGATGCCGAGTTTGGCCTTGTGCCAGGGACTCTCCTATGTTAGCTCGTTTAATCCTCAAAAAAAAAAAAAAAAAAAGGCTATTATTCTCTTTTTACAGACCATAAAATGGAGGCTCAGGGGGTGAAGGGACTGAGCAAGATCATTCAGCAATAAATGCTGGAACCAGGACTCGACTATGCCTTTTGGACTCAGGAGCCTGTATTCTTACCCACCAGCTCCCTCAGCCCTGGCCTCGTGCTCTGGGGAAGGGGGGAGGCTGAAGGCTCCAGCCAAGCGCCTTTGTCGTCCAGATGGGGAAACTGAGGCCCAGAGACTTTAAGGGGCTTACCCATGGGTAAGTGGAAAGGCCAGCCCAAGAACCCAGGCTTCCTTACCTTCTGCCCACTGGTCTCCTTTTGGGGTGGTCCCCCTCGCTCCTGCTCCTCAAGGGATGCAGGTGAGAGAAGGGGAGGTATTGTGGGCCTGCAACTCTGGAAGACACTATGTTGAGGCCCACTATTAATCTTGAATAAGCTCTTCCCTCCTCTGGGAGTCACTTCTCATCTGTGAAATGGGGGTAGGGGTTGGTGGTCAGACCGAGGGTATGGCCGCACAGCAATTACCAGGAGCAAAGAAGTACAGTGCGTGCATAGCCCCTGATCATTCCTTCTCCTCCCTCCAGGAAACTCCAGCCTGGCCTCTGACCCTGGTGCAATCCAACCATACCCAAGTGGGCCTTTCCTCTAGAGCTGCTCCGGGGCCTGGCTGTGTGTGTGATCAGGGCAAGGTGCTACACCTCTCCGTGCCTCAGTGGTCTAATCTGTACAAGTGGAAGCATGAAAATGGACTTCATTAACTCATTAAATATTTATTGAGCACCTACCATGTGACAGATCCTCTACTGGGTGATGGGGACCTGGGGGTGGAGCAAGACTCACAGATTCCACCTTCACAGAGCTCACGGTCTGGGGAGAGATAGTGACAAAAGCAGCCTAGCATGACACAGCCTCATGAAGGAGCATGGGGCCATCGTGCTGAGGGAGGGGGCCTCCACCGAATAATTTGATGGAGATGGGGCCCTACCATCTCAAGTGAGACCAGAAGAGTCCGATGCGGCCCTGGGAGGGTCCCAGGCCAAGGGCACGGCAAAGGTCTCGGGTGAGGGAGAGCCTGACACTCGAGAGAAAGAAACAGTTCACTGTGGTCAGAGTTCAGAGTGGGAGGGACAGTGTGGTGGTGGGGGACGTCGTGCACCAAGAGCTGACCCCCAGGACTAGAACCGGACCTTGGGAGACACTCAGCTAATACCAAAACACTGCCAGTCCATTAACCTTCAGAGAAAATAAAGCAAAATGGCGGGTAGGGAGGGAGGGGTAAGGGAAAGTTAATGCCGCAGCACTGGAGTGTGTGGCCTCCTGGAATAGGTATACAATTGACTTCACCCCTAGTTGTCTGGGTGACCTGGGATGATTATTCAAGATCTCCGAACTGGCACAAGTCACAGAGAATTTCTTGTTTTGGCTCAGCAGGAAGTTGACACATAGAGCTTTAAGGTCATCCCTCAGGAGGTGGGTGCGTGAGGCAGCTCAGCAGTGGTAGGGCTGCAGAGCAGGAAACAGGGTCTGGATCTGGCAGGACGAGTCAGAGCCTGAGAGTCTTGCACTCATAGATAAGGATGGCTCAGCCCCTCACCTACCTTGGGTCTCTGGCAATAGGCTGAGCCAGGACTTGAGGCTGGAGAGGGACGTGACTTATCCAAGATCTCATGGGGCCCAGGATTCCTGGTTCTCCTAACTTGGTCATTCAACAGACATTATCTAGCATTTAGTGTGTGCTGGGTGTTGTGCAAGTGCTGGAAATGCCTGAGGACATGACTGGCCTGACTCTGCCCCCACGTAGCTGAGAGTCTAGTGGGTGGGTGGACTGGTTAGTACACAGGATGATTTCAGACTGTGAACGGTACTGTGAAAAAGACCAATAAGGTGGGACTTAGAGGGATGGGCATGCAGTGTCACATAGAGTGTTTGGCAAGGGCCTTTCTGAAGAGGTGACATTTGAGCTGAATGACAGGAGGGAGCTGGCTATGTGAGTAGAGGAAACAGCAAGTGCAAAGGTCCTGAGGTAGGCATGAGTTCAATGTGGTTAGGGGTCAGAAGGGTGCCCAGGGTAGGTAGAAGGTGATTAAGAAGACAGAAGTTCCCACCGTGCAGGGCCTTGTAGGTCAGGGTAAAGAGTGGACTTTTGCCAAAACCAAACTGAAGAGCTTTATCTGAGCCTGCAGAACTTCCCACTGGCAGTTCTACTGTGGATGTGTGATCCTCATCTGCTCCAGGAGTCCAGGACATTTGGGCGTGTCCCTGTCTCCATGTGGCCCTAACAGGGAGAGAATTGCCTCTTGGGGAAAGAATGGTCACTTCACCAGCCATTGTGGGTGACGAATGAATCCTTAGGGAATTTTCTCACCATTGTCCCCTTGGGGTTGAGGCTATGAGTAGAGAAACCTGAAGGATGAGGACTTGAGGTGGGGGCAGAGGGACTCTGGCTTTGGGGACCCACTGTGTGCCTGGCCTTGAGTGAGTAGGAGACCACAGAGAGAGATTGAACTTGGACCACTACCTTTGAGCTGTGCCCAGGCTGCGGGGGAGGGACAAAGTAGGCCTGTGCTCAAAGGAAGCTCAGGGGCAGGGCTGCTTTAGCGTGCCCCCCCCCACCCCCACCCCCCATAGGACGGAAAGAGGCATGGGGGACTTGGCTTTGCACCGGAGCAGGATAGGTAGCTTTGGGAAGTTGCTTATCTGGGTGCAGATACCCAAACATGGGTACCTTGGCATTGTGCCCACACCAGAGGCTCTTAGAAAAAGGCAAATGGGGTTTGAAATGGGGTGGGAGCAGAAACCTAGCCTGGATCCCAGGGGAAGATCCTGTGGAGGGTGGTGTGATGGAGGTGGTAAGATGAGCTTTCTGGCCCATAGAGCATTTTATAAAAAACACTGTAGATGAGAAGCATGCTCTCTACTTCTCCGCAGGCCCACTCCTCCCTATTGCCCTATATCTACTCTTTCAACCCTTTCTGACCCCTGAAGGCACTTGAGTTTGAACTCCCCAGGGGATCTCATCTGAGCCTTCAAATGGGATACATTTCAGCATCTGCAGGGGTGCAAGACTGAGTTGGAGTTTGGAGGACACTTTGGGGAGGGGGAGGCGAGGAGGTGCAAGTACGTGGCAGTGAGATAGCTCAGGGTTCAATCCTAACTGTACCACAGCTGCCCTCACTGGCAGGAAGGTGCTGTTATTATACCCACTTCATAGAGGAGAAAAACTGAGGCTCAGGTGGAGGTCACACCACGAGAGACAGTCCCGCTAGGGTCGCCAGAGAAAATATAGAACGCCAGAGAATATAGAATATAATTTTTAATATAATTATGCACTGTTTATCTGAAATTCCAATATAACTGAGCGTCCTGTATTTTACTGGCTAAATCTGGCAACCCTACAAGCTTGAAACCCAGGGCTGCCTGACCCCAAGCCCCTGCTTAATTTTCCTACCCATCTCCCAATTTCACAAATGGAGAAACTCGAGTCCGAACCGCTAGGCAGCCACGGCGCGCCGGTTCCCGTACTCCCTAGGCCTTTTCTCTGCGCGCCTCCCACCCGACCCCCGACCGGATTGGGAGAAATGTGGGAGGGCAGGAAAAGGGAAGATGCGCGCCCTCCGACTCCGCCCCCGGCCCGCAGGCCCCGCCCCCATCCCGGAGGTCCCCGCCGCCAGCCACGCACTTCCCTCCCTCGCCGCGCCGGCGGTGCTCGTAGGTCCCGCCCCCGTCGCCCGGGACCCGCCCCCAGCGCGCCTGTCTCCTCCCCGTCCTCGCAGACCCCGCCCCTGGTGCCGGCGGCTGCCGTTCGGTTTCCAGCCTCCAGAAGCCGCAGCCCCGGTGCCGCCTCCGCCCCGGGGCTCCGGCTTCCCGCCCGTCCCGCCCCGTTTGCGGGCCATGGAGCTCCGAGTAGCGGATCGAGAGCAGCCGGAGCGCCCCAGCCCGTCCGCCTGGTTAGCGCCTGGCCGGGGGAGGGGGCGGTGGAATCTGGGAGAGGGGTGGAAATATCCCGCCCCAGGCCTCACCGTTCATCCCTCTTGTAGTGAGGTAGGAGGGTTGGGGTGGCAGTCGGGGCTCCTGGCTCCTGGCTCTAACTGACCCGGACTCGATGGGTGACCTTGAGCCGAGGGCTCCCCCTCCCTGCCTCTCCTTCCCCATCTGCACAATGGGGATTGGTTTGGCGGGAGGTTTCCCCGAAGGTCACCCGATAGCAGCTCCTTTAGGATGCGGACAGCGCTGTCCGGTGTTTGGGGGCTTTAAGGAGTTTGATTCCTGGGAGTCATCTGCCTGGACCCTGGCCCATACCCTCCCCTGCCTCAGTTTCCCTGCGCCGTTTCCTCAGAGCCCCAGGACCCAGCTCTGAGTTTCTGGATCTTGGCAGGTGCCTGGCCCCCATCCCTTCCCAGAGCGAGCCCTGGAGACGGCAGCCAGGTGGCTGCTGAGCAGCGGCAGCAGCATGAAGGCCCCGGTAAGTGGTGTAAGGAGGAAGGCTCTTGGGGAACTTCCGGCACAGCAGCCTCCTAACCTCTCCCACTGCAGGACTGACTCACTTCTGACCCACTGCTCCTGAGCTAAGAAGGGCAGACTGGCCTCAAAGCCCTGCTGATCTGGTGGGCAGGCGGTGTGGCTTCAGGCAAGTGGTCTTCCCTCTCTGGTTTCAGGGCCTTGCGCTTCTCCCCTGTGACATGGAGATAGATAATAGTACTATCTCCTGCAAGCACCCGGAGGCCACCCAGGTGAGGCACCCGCCTGGGAGGGGGACATGGTGTGAAAGTGCCGTTTAGCTGCTCTTGACTTTATTCAGGAGCCCCTGGTTGTGGGAGAGGGCCCTGGATGTTGGGGGAGTCTGCCACGACCGCCTGAATTCCGGTCTCTGGGTCCTTTGTGGGCAGAGGACCAGGTGCCAGGCAGAGCCTGAGGGCTCATGGGCTGAACCCCCTCCCCCGCACAGCTGGCCACAGAGAGATTTATTTTTAGAAGCTGATGTGGCTTGTGGACAGAAAAGGGTAGGCCTCTGGTAGGATATGCCTGGGGGGGACGGTGGGGGCTGCTTTCCCCTCCTCTGGTTTTTAGCACCACCAGCTCCTAGGTGGATTCTGAGGGGGGAACCTGTGCCTTGGGCAGGCTGGGAGAATATTAGAGCCCAGAGAGACACACACAGTGACCAGGGTGGCCCAGCATATGAGGGCAGCCCCAGGTCATGCCCTCTTCCTGGTGGCCCCCCCTTGAAGGCTTGGTCACTAAGTCTGCCAGCAGGGCCAATGGGCCTGGAGGGCTTTCTGCTTCAAATGGCCTCTGGCACATGTTTTGTGGAGGTGGGAGCCTCTGAGCGGCAGCTTTCAGTTATTGGAACCATTCTTTGAGTGACACTTCCCTCACTTCCTGGGCCGCTGACCCAGATCATGAGCTAGGGGGCTGGTCACTGAGCAGCCGGGGGAGGGGGCAGGGCGTGGGCACACTGGCTGCCTGGGTCCCGGGTCTGAAGGAGGATGGCTGCTCTTCTGAGGGGCCGCTCTCCTGTCTTCTTGTGCACCACTTTGGGGTACACAGAGCTTACCGTACGTTCGCCCTGCAGGCATTATGGGCCCCAATTTTTTAGAAGCAGAAACAGGCCCAGAGGGGTGGACAGTCATACCGAAGCCTGCACAGTGCACCTAGGCTTCCAGTTACGAGTATGGGCTCTGCAGCCTGGTTTTAAGGCCCCATCCTGATTCTTTATCTAGAATATGGGGATCATAATAGGGCTTGTCTCCAGGGCCTGAGCTTGGAAGCCCAGAGGAAGCCCTGGTTAACAGAGACCGTGGACCGTGCTAATGTTCTGGAAGCTACTGAGCTGGGCTTTGGACCCATGGGGCTGGGGCATAAGCTTCTAGGAGCCCCAGGGACCCCTGCCCACACCCCACGACTGCTGACTCCCCCAGGGCCGGCTCCTCCTCGTTATCCTGTGCTCCTTGGGCTTCTCTGCCGCCTACATCCTGCTGTGCCTCTGGGCCGGCGTGCCCTTCTGCCTGGCCTCCTGCCTGGACCCCCAGCCCTCCATCAACTCCAGGCCCACTGTGCCGGGGCCCCTGCGCTTCAGCGGATACAGCAGCGTGCCAGATGGGAAGGTGAGCTGGCCGGACAACATGTCGCGCGACAGGGCCGGCCACGGCTGCCAGGGTGCCCCCAGCTCTCTGGGCGTAAGTGAGAACCAGGCTCATGCCAGGCCAGCCTGGACCCCAGGCTTGGCCCCTCTGCTCACCAGCTCTGTGACATTGAGTAGCCACTTGACCTCTGTGAGCCCCAAGTTCTAAGAGGAAATTTTTTTTTTTTTTTTAATTCAACAAATGTTGCCTGGCTGCTCTCAGCTGGGAGCTAGAGGTGAAAAAGATGAGTCAGCCAGGGCGGCTGGCCATCTGGAGCTCTTAGACCCAGTGGGGGAGACAGACACCATCCCACCATGGTGATCTGTGCATCGTTCTGTGTGTCTTTAGAATTGATTATGTATGTGCATAATCCATTCATGCAGCAGGTGTGTATCTGGATATGCCGTGCCTTGTACTGATGGCTGCCGAGGATAGAGATGACAGAGAAAAGTCACGTCAACCCCAGAGCTCTCCCTCTCATGGGGAGACAGAGACACTGGGGCTCAGGGGTGACGACCCACCTCCCCATGCTTGCTCTGCCAGGCGTGGTTTAGAATAGGAATAGGAAAATGGACCTCTGAGTCCCTAAATCAACATGATGTTAGATATAAAATGTCCCAGAGTGGGATAAAGGTCACTGTAAACCCCTGTGCCCCCAGGAAGACATGGAGACATGGAGTGAGGAGCAAGTCCTTTTCTGGGAGTCCTGACCTCTAACCCCCAGGGAACATTTGCAGGCGTGTTGACTCAGCTTCTGCTTTTCGAGAGATAATGAGATGGTCGTTGGGCCCTCACTGTGCTCTGGGTCTGCACTGATCACTCTCCAGGCTTTCTTTCTTTCTTTTTTTTTTTTTCAAGATCTGGGCTGAGATCAAGAGTCAGATGCTTAACTGACTGAGCCACCCAGGCACCCCACTCTCCAGGCATTTTTAATCGAGTCTTCACAACCTGATGAAGTAGATAATATTTTCATCCCCATTTGCCAGATGAGGACATTGAGGCCCCAAGAGACAGAGGAAGTGGTTGAGCCAGGATTCAGGCTCAGAACCAGGGGTTCTCGATGTTATTGTGGCGCCAAAGACCCCGCTTTTACTTAATGAACTGGGCATAACGTGACTGGGGCTTGGGCAGAGGATGGAGTGGTCCAACAGTGATTGTGAAGAGCTAAGGTTCATGTTTACTTAACAAACACACATATGACACCCTGTCTGTGCCAGGCATTGCTCTAAGTGCTTTATAAATATTTGCTCATGTAACTGTAATAAGGCACCCGGGATGGAGGGCCGGTTAGGGCCTCAGCAATCGGGAAAAGGGACATGCATATGGCTGATGAGGAAGCATGGGGCTCTGAGTCTCAGCCCTGCCCCTGGCTATCCATACAACCGTAAGAAAGTCACTCCGCCTGCCCGGTCTCAAATTCCTCATCTGCATGCTGTACTCGGAGCTGATACAGGGATCAGGCGAAGTCAGTGGCTGGAGCAGGGCCGTGGGAGCTGTGCGCTCACGCCTCTCTCTTCGTCTCTGCCTCTCCCTGCAGCCGCTGGTCCGAGATCCGTGCCGCAGCTGCGCCGTGGTGTCCAGCTCCGGCCAGATGCTGGGCTCGGGCCTGGGCGCCGAGATCGACAGCGCCGAGTGCGTACTGCGCATGAACCAGGCGCCCACCGTGGGCTTTGAGGCGGACGTGGGCGGGCGCAGCACGCTGCGCGTGGTCTCGCACACGAGCGTGCCCCTGCTGCTGCGCAACTATTCGCACTACTTCCAGCACGCTCGAGACACGCTCTACGTGGTGTGGGGCCCGGGCAGGCACATGGACCGGGCGCTGGGAGGCCGCACGTACCGCACGCTGCTGCAGCTCACCAGGATGTACCCAGGCCTGCAGGTGTATACCTTCACCGAGCGCATGATGGCCTACTGCGACCAGGTCTTCCAGGACGAGACGGGCAAGAACCGGTGAGCCTGGAGCCGGCCTGCGGGCGGGGGGCTCCCTGCCGGCGGGGGGCATGCCTTCTCCGGCGGCTTCTTGTGCGTCAAGGGTCTGCTCCGTCAGGCGCTGGGGGGCCAGCAGCGATGGAGGCAGATGGGGGTGCTCCTGCCTCTGATGGGGGACAGAAGCAGAAAGACTGTCATTCGCTGAATTAGCACAAAGATGAAAAATCCCCAGCGGCGGTGAGGGGTGTTTGGCTTTGCAAGCACAAGATAGGGGAGCACTGCCGGGGGGGGGGGCAGCGGCCGGGAGCTCCTCCCTCTGGAGGGGATACTCCCTGAGATCGGAATTGGTCTCTGAAGTCCCTGCCAGATAACGAAAGTGACAGTTCACAGTAGTAACAGCCCTCTGCGTGCACCAGGCACTGACTTAAGCACTCTGCGTGGAAGATCTCATTTTATCACACGCTCGCTGACTCCCGCCTACCTCCTCCGCACACTGGCTCCCCCCCTCCCCCAGCCCGCCCCCACCCCAACTCAGGAAATACAGCCGCCAACCACCAGTTTCCCAGCCAGAAGCTTGGGCTTTGCACCTGACTCCTTTCATTGCATCATCTGCCACATTTCGTGGGCTCTTAACTCTCCTGTGCTCACAGGTGCCACCTTGACCTGAGCCACCATCCCCCCA